ATTTGCATACACACATACACATACACATACAAACACACACACACACACACACACACACACACACACACACACACACACACAATAAACCACATACAGAGACACACACGCAAACACGCACAACACGCACATAAACACATACATTTCAAATGCGAATGAAATCTCCAATACTCAATCCTTTAAAGAAAAGTCAGCAACCCCCTCCCAAAAACAAGGACAACGACAAACAAGCAAACAAACAATTAAAGAAACCAAGCAAACTGATCCTTACGAAAACAAAACACACCCAAAAAAAACGAACACCCACCCCACCGAAAAAGTAAAAAATTGTAAAATTCAAAAAAGCAAACAAAAAAGCAAACAAAAAAGCCAAACTAATGCAATCAAAACAAAACAAGACAAAACTACAATTAATTGTAACAACAAGAAGATCACATTCGCCTCAGCAGAACCATCATTATATGTGAGGCAGCGTGGTGGAATCAGGCTCTCGTCAATTTTTGGGCACATCGAGTTATTGGTATCATCTTAAAGCTTGTTCAATTGTCTTTATTTGGAGGGGAAAAAAATCCGTTTATCTTAAATACAAGTCGAGATATTTGAGAATGAAGGAGGTGGGGTTACCTGTTTTCTGAACTAAAATTAGAGAGAAAATGGCCGCCAAAGATTAGTAATTTCCTCAGCTTAAAGAGTTCGTGGTAACAGAAAATTTACAATTTTTTTAGCCTTTAATCACCTTTTTTCAGAAAAATCCACACAGAAATTAGTTCTTTAATGAGCATGAAAGGTGTTGAACCCCCAAAATTGATAAAAATTCACAAACCTGCGGAAAAATGCAAGTTTCTTCACTTTGATTATTTTGACAAGAGCCTGATTCCACCACGCTGCCTCACATATTATTTCTGAAGTAACTTTTGAAGATAATGGCACATTGAAAAAACAATTCATTCAATGGATACCTGTATCAGTCAGCAATAGGCAGCGCAAAATAAAAGTAAAAATCATTATCTTTGAAATAAAAAAGAAGGATCCAAATCCAAAGCATTTGGTCCTTAAGAATTTTCGTCATTGCTAAAACTGTGCTACTTCTGCAACTTCTTCTACTGCTACTGCTACTGCTACTGCTACATCTTCCATTGCACAGTTTTCCTAAAATTTGAAGTGGATTTTCCAGTCAGAAGTTAAGCCAAAGTTTTACAATCCACGAACCGGCTGCTTTATAATTGAGTAGTCTGCGCAAATAGCCTACATTATGTTTTCGAGATAAGTAAAATATGCAGCTATTAACTAGATCAAATTAAAAACAGAAACCAAAGTCCTCGATCATTGTATTCCAAAAAAGAATTATCTTGCCTGTTCAAATTACCATGAACAGAAGGTCCTGTTGAAAGTTGAAGAATAACTATCCACGCACTATTCGTCTTGCTCGTTGAGCGCTTTACGGAAATACCAATGTGCCCTGGAGATAAAATTATGTTACAGACTTAACCAAAGTGAAAAAAAAACAATAGACCTAACAGAAGAAAAAAAAATCTGTGCTGGTCTATTCTTCTAGACCCAGAAAATATGACGATGATAAATACCTTTACAATACAAGAAAATATTCTAAAACGGTGAATAAGACGCAGGGAAAAACTTTTCAACTATCCAGTCAATAGCTCCGTCCACTGTTCAGAAATGTGAAGCAGGAAAATAAAACCACAATCAAGGGATGTGAGCGCTATTGTGTGGAGACAAAACTCACTTGGTTAGGGCGGACAAAACGTTTTGATCTCATTGCCTTGTGGCCCTTGTTGGCTCGTCACCTGTCGAGTTTTTCTCTTCCACTGTCTGTTTCTTCGTTTGTTTTGTCTGTGCGTCCCTCGAAAAAGCAAGCAAGCAAGTTGACAATCTACTCAGAACTAATCCGCACACATGCCCCACGCCCTCGCGGATCAGAGCAACGCATAGAGTTAGAAACAGGCACAGACGGAGCTTATTGCTTCAGGCTTTACGTTTATCCTTTTAGAATGTGTTAAACCGTACGAGAACCAATGTCAGTTCAGTTTACCGTGCTGTGTTGCAGTGACGTGCGTATGTACATAGTTTGAATCCTCATTTGGATACTACTACACCTGTTTTCTGATCTGATGTTGTTGTTTTTTTTCTTCTACAGCTGTTCATCTGAGTCCTGTCGGAGATGGATGAAGAGTTGCAGATCACTACCCTCATATTGAACCTTGCTGTTCATACAGGGAAGTTAATTCTGTTAAGCCCTTAATCATCCTGCTAGTTACAACTGGATCATTTTGAAGACAGGATACTTAGACTAAAGAACCAGGAAGAAGTACTGGGGGAGAGGGGGGGGGTCACAACTAGATCATTTTGAAAACTGGATACTTACACTAAAGAACCACGAAGAAGGAATGGGAGAAAAAAAGAGGCTGTACACCCTAAATAAACATCGATCAAGAACATGTTTTAAAGTAGGTGTTTTACGCCCCTATCGATACGATTAAGATCATTTAGGAGGCGGTGTTGACCCTGCCTGTCAGGCCAACCCAGGCTGAGGGGGGTACTATGTCCCTACAGAGAGACAGAGATACTCGATAAAAATTCTTCCCAGACGGGAATCGAACTTGAATTTTCTTCTGCGTGCGACGGTGAAGCGACTTAGCACTACTCCACAAACTCCAATCTAAAATACCTTGACATAACTTTTCTCGCATACTATTCCATCTTTAGACGTGCTGCATCGCTAGCTGGTGGGTATTGCGTGGAGAGTACTGAAATTTTCTTTAAAAATCGAGATTTCAAGAAAACCCAGTTAAGGGTTCGAACCACAATCGCTTTCACCAGAGCCTAGATTAATGCCAACTAAACCACCGATGTACAAAATCACTGACTAGGAGGACTTCTAAACAGCGCTCGGAGAGTGATAGACTGATGGCATATCATGCCCCAAATGAACACTTTAGATCATTTAGGAAGCGGGCTGTTATAACCGACGTGGTCTGAGCTGGGAACAGGCTAAGATAATCTTTATTGCCCATATTCTGGCACATTGGTTTGGTGTTTCACAACGTACACACATACGCACACACACGCATACACGCACAAATGCACACACACACACAAACACAAACAAACATACACACACACACATACACGGTAACACACACGCACACATACGCACACACACACACACACACACACACACACAAACACACACTCACACATGGTACACCGTCTGGCCTTTATACACAATCGTTGTTTTTTTTAATGCTAGCTAATAAGGGTATTTATTATATGCAAAATGTTAATAAAATCAAACCAAAGATGCTGTCAAACAAACATCCCCCACTCAAAACAGATACCAGTCACCCACGCCAATTTCTCCCAACATCAGTAACTTCCCTTTCAGCTACCTCCCCTCCCTCCCTCAACTAAACCACATCAAATTACTACAGCAGCAAACAAAACATCACAACAACAACAGCAATAACAGCTGCAGCAGCAACAACAACAGCAACAACAACAACAACAACAACAACAACAACAACGGCAACACTAACAACAACAGCAGCAGTAACAAAAAAGAACAAAACAACAAGACTATTTGAGACAAACCCAGCAAAAAGCAGAAACTCCCATCACCACCCCACCCCACAAATAAAAAGGCCAAAACGACCAAGACAGTCTCCGTCTATCATGCCTCTTTCTCTGTGGTCCTGCAAGGTTGAGAGCCGAGCGGTTAAGCAGTTACTTCCCCTTTCTCTGCCCCGACACACCAATCTGGGCAACATTTTCGAATTTTCAAAAGTCACGTTTACATGGAGGTATCCAAATGTTCAAAGCTCATTGGGTGCAAAACTGCCGTATTTGGGGGGGCGCCAGGCATTTGTTACGGAACACTCGAATTAGTCGCCTGGCCGGTGATTGGGACGGAAAAAACCTCCTTAGAATTATTCTGAATCAATATTTTAAAATGTTTATTGGTTTATAGGTTTGCATAGGCAAGCGAGGGAGGGAAAGACCAAGAGCAATTTACTTGGAGAGCCTTAACTGAGGGGAGATGCAGAAGGATGAGTTCAATATATAGCTTTTTTGAGAGCATCTGTGCTAAGGAATAAAAGGAGAACCGTTGTTTCCGATTTCTGTCGCAGATCTGGCACATGATGATAGGTTTAACGCTCCTTGCAATACGTTATGGTTATTTATGAGGAGAGATGTTCAAATTTAACGTCCATTTCCGATAGGATCGAACAAAATGGGAAAATGTGTGCGAAGTGCCTTTGCCAAAGATACAATGTTGGGCCGAACAAAGCCTCTAGCCCTGAATCGGCAGTTCCCCGCAAAAGAGTTCGATAGCCTAATCATTAGATCACTGGCACAACTTCTGCATCAGTGGAGATACACAACACTGTAACACATTTCGTTAAGCTGCATGTTATAGGTTAGTGTTGGTACGTCACACTCAACGCAAATAGGTCATGTAAGTGCCTAAGATAAGAGATGTTAGTAGAGAATTAACATACATAGAAACAGAGGAGGAGGAAAGATAAAGAGGGTTGATATTTGATAGGAAAGAAGAAGCAAACCACACCAGAGCAACCGCCAACCTTCCAAAAGCTGCCTGCAAAAGACTTGGCTTTATTTATTCGTTCTGTTTATTGGTAGTTTTCTTTTGCTTTCTTTTTTCGTGTTCTTCTGCCCGCGTGTCTGTCTGTAGGGTTCTGGCCCATTCATCTGAACGCACTCGAGCGCGCGCGAGTGTACGCACACACACACACACACACACACACACACACACACACACACACACACACACACACACACACACACACACACACACACACACCTACAGACGCAACTACAAATCACACGCCAAGATATTACAATATATTGATATTGAATGAATAAACTGGTCATATCAGTCAAAGCTGTGCTAATAACGATGTGATTTTTTTAAAAACCCAAAAGTTCCCACATTGCAACCCCCTCCCCTCCCCCCTCCCCTAAAAAATGACAGGATCCCCCCTCCCCTAAAAAATGACAGGATAAATAAATAAATGAATAAGTAAATAAATACATAAATAAATAAATAAGTAAATAAAACATTAAGTCAATAAATAAATAAATAGATAGTTCTAAAAAATATAATATATATTGTACACATCATCAATATGAATAAAAATCATGTATAAAAGAAATTATCGATCCATTATAACAATATAGCGTTAGTATTGTCCTAGAAAGCCACCCGCTGCTAGGGAGAAAAGCACGCCCTGTCTTTTACAGGTGAAATTCACCCCATCCACCCCACCCCGCTATACCGCCAACTTCATAGTCGCCCCCCTGTAGGCGGTATGACGGGGGTTGACTGTAATACAAACATGAATCAAATTTCTATCTGTGGGTGATTTCAGGTGGTCTGGTGTGGTTTGTCCTTTATTTCCTATCAAACACCTATCGTCCGTATGTCTCCTACTCCTTTAATTTCTATGCCTCTGTCTTGTAGCCCACCTAATCATAGGCATTTGTATTTGTATGAACAATTTGTGTTGCACGTGCCGTAAAACTCACACTAAAACGGCTGAAACTAAGAATTCAATCTGCGCCAACACAGGTCTTAGGCCTAAGCTACTTTGTCTGATAAAATAAAATGACGGTGAAATGTTCACGTCCTCATGGACGCAATTTAGATTTTAATTTTGTCTGGAAAACTTTTCAATGTCCTTTATCAGTCTGATATCGACCCCAACATCTGTCGTGTGTAATGAAAATCATTATATCAAACATGCACTGATATCTCTTTTCGCAATAATGATAATGATAATGGTAATGATAATGAATGCATTTATAATAAATATAGAGCATGTCCATGTTCCACAGCATGCTATTTATGCTTTACAACTATGTATACAGTTGGAATAGCCCTTTTGAATCCACAATGAGGTGATCTAGATCGTGGGTTTGTTTATCCTAAATCATGAATCGTCGGTTTTTAAAAAAATCCTTTATTTATTTAGTAAAATATGTTTGGAAGCCAATACGCTCAAAATAAATCCCAAGTAAAATTTTGGCTTGAGCTCTTAAACCTGAAAAACAAAAGCAACGGGAATCAGCCACTGTGGGGGTCCAATCGTCTCGTTTGTAAAACTCTCTAGTAAAATTTATCCTGGCATTCATTTTCCCTGCACACCGGTCGAAGTAATCCGGAAGTTGGATCATGTCCGCTGGTGTGCAGACCAGAGCTTCAGATGTCAATAAATGATTGACGTGTACTTAGTTGTCTCCCCAGGCAAAACCAACGAGATGAACATTACCTCTGCATCCTCGCCAACACGAGTCGACAACGCTTACCTCACACGCAATGCTCCAACTCGCCACTAAAAAGGTGATTTTTGCTTATAATACATTCTCCCCCTTCTATAATGAATCCCTTAGGCACTTAGATCTATAATAATATTATGAACTTATTTATACATAGCAACAGAAGAACATCTTCACTGTTTTTCATCGGTGTGTTTTTCTTTTTCTTTTTTAACGAGCAACAGAAATTTTCCACCGTTTTCATCGCTACTGCTAAGATCTGTAAGCCCAACTTCTCGATGAGGAATGGGAGTACAAAGCATTTTTCTTTTTCTTTTTCTTTCCTTTTTATTATTATATATTTTTAAAAAACCCTTTTGTCTGTCTATTTCCAATAGCCCAAATTTCAAAAGTCATGTCGTTCAAGCAACTACTTTTTGCATGGTGGAAATCAAAGGTAAACTGATATCTCTTTCCGTAATAATTATTATGATAATGGTAATGGTAATTAAGTAATAATGATAATGATAACGATAATGAAAATGACAATGAAGGCAGTTATAATAAATATAGAGCATATCCTTGCTCTACAGCGTGGTCTATATTAAGCTTTATAACTATGTATACCGTTGGAAGGACCCATATTAAAATTTGAATTTAAATAACGTGGCGGCCTAGAAGTCGTGGGTTTATTTATGTGCTAAGTATATTTTGTACTTTTTCGGGAGGGGGTCAAAACTGTCTTCCTACTCAGATCAGTCCAATCGGAGACAAAAGTGGAATAATTCGTCGAATGTAGGCTCTCTGAGCTTTTACAATAGTATAACAATACACCCCAACAGACCCGACAGTCCTTTGGAACATTCTCAGAAAGCATCAATTGCACAATTAGTCTTCTTATAGACAAACACAAACATACTCACAAAATTGTATATTGATCGCAGGACACTCACTTCTATCTATGTAAAGCGAGGGTAATGTGTATAGTGTGTTTTTCCTAAAGACACAAAATTGGGCTTTAGCTGGGATCCGAACCAATAGCCTCACTGTCACAAACCCTGTAGCCTAACCACTGTACCACACTGTTCTAAAATGAACCGATGATTTCAAACATCTGTGCTCGCTGCTTTTTTAAATATTGTGTTGAATGTACATGTACATTAGATATAGATCTATTAATAATTCTTGTTTTCTTTCTCTCTATTATTATTTTTTCTTTCGATTTTTTCTTTTAACGTTTTCGGGACTAGTTTCATTCTCTTAAAAAATAAAATTTGATTCGTGTTTTAAGAAAAGATTGCTTTTAAAAAATGACAAATGTGCGCGATTGTGTTTTATGTTAAAAGAAGAAAGAGAGCTGTCAATGTCAAGGAAAGCAAGCCGTGTCTATAATGAGTTTAATGGGGAAAGAGAAGCTGATGAACAGACTCGAGGTCAACAGGTGTATGTCAATAAAGAATGCACTTATTCCTTCTTGGGGAAAAGGAAGAAGAAAAAATGGAAAAGGGGAAAGGG